GTTTAAAAGTGCTGATTGTGCATGGTGAGTGTGATGATGTGGTTTAAAGGCTGATTGTGCATGGTGGTAGAGTGATGTGGTGTGAGGCTGATGTGGTGGTTTAAGGCTGATTGTGTGATGTGGTGGTTTAAAGGTTTAAGGCTGATTGTGCATGTGATGTGATTGTGGTGAGTTAAGTTTAAGGCTGATTGTGTATGGTGAGTGTGATGTGCATAGTGTTTTTAAGGCTGATTGTGCATGGTGAGTGTGATGTGATGTGGTTTAAGGCTTTTGTGTATGGTGAGTGTGTGTGTTGTGGATGGTATGGTTTAAGAGCTGATGTGCATAGTGATGGTTTAAAAGGCTGATTGTGTATGGTGAGTGTGATGTATGTGGTTTAAAGGCTGATTGTGCATGGTGTGTGATGTGTGATGTGTGTGGTTTTAAGGCTGATTGTGTATGGTTTAAGAGTGTGTGTATGTGAGTGTGGTTTTAAGGCTGATTGTTATGTGATGTGATGTGATGTGTGTGATGTGAGTGTGATGGCTTAAGTAGCTGAGGCTGATTGTGCATGGTGAGTGTGATGATGATGTGGTTTAAAGGCTGATTGTGCATAGTGGTGTGATGTGATGATGTTTAAAGGGTTGTGTATGGCTGGTTTAAGGCTGATTGTGCATGGTGGAGTGTAGTGTGATGATGTGGTTTAAGTGTGCATTATTGTGATGGTGAGTGTGATGTGTGGTTTAAGGCTGATTGTGTATGTATGGTGAGTGTGATGTGTGGTTTTAAGGCTGATTGTGCATGGTGAGTGTGATGATGTGATGTGGTTTAAGGTGATGATTGTGTATGGTGTGTGTGATGGTTTAAGAGCTTATTGTGCATGTTAGTGTGATGATGTGGTTTAAGGCTGATTGTGTATGGTGAGTGTGATGTGATGTGGTTTAAGGCTGATTGTGTATGGTGAGTGATGATGTGTAGTGTGGATTTAATGGTTTAGAGGCTGTTGTGTATTGTGCATGGTTTAAGTGTATGATGTGTGTGTGGGATGATGTGGTTTAAGGCTGATTGTGTATGGTAAGTGTGATGATGCGGTTTAAGGCTTATTGTGCATGGTGAGTGTGATGATGTGGTTTAAGGCTTATTGTGCATGGTGGGTGTAATGTGGTTTAAGGCTTATTGTGCATGGTGAGTGTGATGATGTGGTTTAAGGCTGATTGTGTATGGTGAATGTTATGATGTGGTTTAAGGCTGATTGTGGATGGTGAGTGTGATGTAGTGTTGTTTAAGGCTGATTGTGTATGTTGAGTGTGATGTGATGTGGTTTAAGACTTATTGTGCATGGTGAGTGTGATGTGATGTGGTTTAAGGCTGATTGTGTATGGTGAGTGTGATGTGTGGTTTAAGGCTGATTGTGCATGGTGAGTGTGATGTTGTGTGATGTGGTGTGGTATCGTTTAAGGCTGATTGTGTATGGTGAGTGTGATGTGATGTGGTTTAAGGCTGATTGTGCATGGTGAGTGTGATGATGTGGTTTAAGGCTTATTGTGCATGGTGGGTGTGATGTGGTTTAAGGCTTATTGTGCATGGTGAATGTGATGATGTGGTTTAAGGCTGATTGTGTATGGTGAGTGTGATGATGCGGTTTAAGGCTGATTGTGTATTTTGAATGTTATGATGTGGTTTAAGGCTGATTGTGTATGGTGAGTGTGATGTGATGTGGTTTAACGCTTATTGTGGATGATGAGTGTGATGTGGTTTAAGGCTGATGGTGCATGGTGAGTGGGATGATGTGGTTTAAGGCTGATTGTGTATGGTAAGTGTGATGATGCGGTTTAAGGCTTATTGTGCATTGTTAGTGTAATGATGTGGTTTAAGGCTGATTGTGTATGGTGAGTGTGATGTGATGTAGTGTTAGGCTGATTGTGTATGGTGAGTGTGATGTGGTTTAAGGCTTATTGTGCATGGTGAGTGTGATGATGTGGTTTAAGGCTGATTGTGTATGGTGAGTGTGATGTACTGTTATTTAAGGCTTATTGTGCATGGTGGGTGTGATGTGGTTTAAGGCTTATTGTGCATGGTGAGTGTGATGATGTGGTTTAAGGCTGATTGTGTATGGTGAGTGTGATGTGATGTGGTATAAGACTTATTGTGCATGGTGAGTGAGATGTGTGGTTTAAGGCTGATTGTGTATGGTGAGTTTGATGTGTGGTTTAAGGCTGATTGTGCATGGTGAGTGTGATGTGGTGTGATGTGTGGTATCGTTTAAGGCTTATTGTGTATGGTGAGTGTGATGTAGTGTGGTTGAAGGCTGATTGTGCATGGTGAGTGTGATGTGGTGTTGTTTAAAGGTCACATGCAACCAAAAAATCAAACATAATTAAAACACAATTATCACTTATTCATGACATATAATATACATCGCTGGTTATGAAAAAATATATAAACAAAATTATAAGCATACAATCGCAAATCAAAAGTGCAATATTTTGTACTTTGGTTTACTTAAAGGTCACATGCAACGTAAAACACAACTTTGCAGATTCTGATACCTTTCGGTATGGACATACCGAAACAAATTGTCAAAAATGCAAATTCAACTTATAAAGTTGAAAAATAACGTGATGAAAAAAAACGTGCGAAATCGAAGTTCAAACGTTTCACTAATTTTCCCCAGACTTTCTGGGGAAAACGGGTTTCAACAGCTGGGCTGCGCTCATAGCATGTGCGCAAGTAAATAGGTTCGCACAGCTTGGAAGCGGGTTGTCGGGTGAATTCTCGGTGAAGGCTTTGGTGTGAGCTATTTTCTAATGTTTTGTTGATATCTCACGAAGCGAGCTTTTTATATGTTATGACAGTAAATTAACTGTTTATATAATTTCATTTGTCTATTTCACCACACGTTCTTCTTACCGAGTCACTTTCTCAGTTCGATACTTAAAAGCAATGTCATTATTTAGCGTTGACACAATTTCTAACTGTGATATAGATATGTCGTTGTCACAGACAAAACTCAATGTCTTGTTTTATTGACACCTGTGGGTCTGCCTGCCTGTCTGCTAATGACAATATTCAATACACAGCTGCTATCACTGACCACATGCAATTCGAACTTAACACCAATCAGGCTATACACCATAAACAAAAATGCATTGTTTATGGCCCGAGTTCGGTCTCTGTCACATTATGTAATTACACAGACAGGCAAGTGTGATACTTGAACACATGACATGTTATGATGTCTGTTGATTGCAAAATTTTATACACAAAAAATGAGCATGTATTTACAAAACCCAACATCTCTATATATACACACACAATGAGCCGTGAAGGCGGCATCTGCTAATGAACCAGCCGTTACACTTGAGTGCACACCCACCCGCTCTGACTGGGTTCGGTATCCCGGCTGCTTCATTTCGAGGGAGGTAAACCCAAGTACAAAATATTGCACTTTTGATTTGCGTTGATACGCTTATAATTTTGTTTATTTGTTTTTTCATAATCAGCAATGCATATTATATGTCATGAAGAAGTGATAATTGTGTTTTAATTATGTTTGATTTTTTGGTTGCATGTGACCTTTAAAAAACCCCGAAGCAGCTGGGATACCGAACCCAGTCAGAGCGGGTGGGTGTGCACTCAAGTGTAACGGCTGGTTCATTAGCAGATGCCCTCACGTCTCATTGTGTGTGTATATATAGAGATGTTGGGTTTGTAATACATGCTCATTTTTTGTGTATAACATTTTGCAATCAACAGACATCATAACATGTCATGTGTACAAGTATCACACCTGCCTGTCTGTGTAATTACATAATGTGACAAAGACCGAACTCGGGCCATAAATCAATGCATTTTTGTTTATGGTGTATAGCCTGATAGGTGTTAAGTTCAAATTGCATGTGGTCAGTGATCGAAGTTGTGTATTGAATATTGTCATTAGCAGACAGGCAGCCTGATAGCTGTCAATAAAACAGACATTGAGTTCTGTCTGTGACCATGACATATCTATATCACAGTTAGAAATTCTGTCAAAGCCAAATAATGACATTGCTTGTAAGTATCGAGTTGAGAAAGTGACTCGTTAAGAAGAACGTGTGGTGAAATAGACAAATGAAATTATATAAACAGTTAATCTACTGTCATAACATATAAAAAGCTCGCACCTGTGAAATATCAACCAAACATTAGAAAAATAGCTCACACCAAAACCTTCTCCGAGTATTCACCGGACAACCCGCTTCCAACCTGCATGAACCTATTTCACTGCACATGTGCTATGAGCGCAGCCCAGCTGTTGAAACCACTTGAACTCCCCCAAGCGCTGGGGGAAAATTAGTGTATCGTTTGCACTACGATTTCGCGCGGGTTTTTTCATCACGTTATTTTTCAACTTTTTAAGTTGAATTTGCATTTTTTGATGATTTGTTTCGGTAAGTCCATACCGAAAGGTATCAGAATCTGCAAAGATGTGTTTTACGTTGCATGTGACCTTTAAGGTTGATTGTGTATGGTGAGAGTGATGTGGTGTGGTATGGTTTAAGGCTGATTGTGCATGGTGAGTGTGATGATCATAGATTCAAATCACTATTATTGGGTTGTATTACAAGGGGTAAGTGTAGTAGTTGGAACAGTGAAACAAATGCACGTGCGGTTCGTGATGAGCGTTAACTTAGACCAACTCTAGTTGTTCACACTGTTTCATTAAATGTGCATACCCACTTGTAATACAAACCAATAATAGCGATTTGAAACTATGATCGTGTGTTAAACAACTTTTATCTAAAGTTGAATAAAATTCTTAGATTTAAATGTTCAATTGGCAAGGTAAAATTACGAGGATTCGTCATCTTAATTTCACTTTAATGGTTTTACGTTTTTGTTTAAAGTGAAATTCATCGGTACGTTTTCACTGCAAACAGACTATAGGTGAGTCTGTGGTGTAGTTTGACTACTATCAAGATATATACAACATATTGATACCAGGACTATATGAAGGGGTGTACAACTAGGGGGACTCCTACTTCAGCTGGAACTGATTGTTTGTCCCTCGATGGTCAAGGTCATGACAGAGACATCCAACCATCAATGCCAAGCGTTCTGACTCTGTCAACACATTGTCCATTCCACCAAGCTGCAACAAAGACCGTTGGTAAGAAGTCATAAATATGCCAGTTTAGCAGAACAAAGAGAGTGCAAATCAATCAGTGCAGTGTGTCACGATGATAACTCACCTTAAGCATGCTGAACATTGTTTGAGCTACGTTGAATGCGTGCCTCCAGTTGTGATATGTAACATTTCTATAGTTTTTCTTCACACTCAGAAGCCACCGACAGAGTATCTGGGGGAACAGTAAAGGAAAGACCACTATGTATGCCAACAGTTTCAAAATCTAACCTTGCATTTGATAAATGACAAATATACACAAACATAAAGCTGAACTGTCTTGAAATACACTATCAGTAATTGTTTTGTCACTTCTGCTTAGAAGAACAAATCATTATACGCATTTCCATTTGTGAGTGATGGAGACATCTCACCTCATAACTAATACTGATTGATGGAGACATCTCACCTCATAACTAATACTGATTGATGGAGACATCTCACCTCATAACTAATACTGATTGATGGAGACATCTCACCTCATAACTAATACTGATTGATGGAGACATCTCACCTCATAACTAATACTGATTGATGGAGACATCTCACCTCATAACTAATACTGATTGATGGAGACATCTCACCTCATAACTAATACTGATTGATGGAGACATCTCACCTCATAACTAATACTGATCATGGAGACATCTCACCTCATAACTAATACTGATTGATGGAGACATCTCACCTCATAACTAATACTGATTGATGGAGACATCTCACCTCATAACTAATACTGATTGATGGAGACATCTCACCTCATAACTAATACTGATTGATGGAGACATCTCACCTCATAACTAATACTGATTGATGGAGACATCTCATCTCATAATTAATACTGATTGATGGAGACATCTCATCTCATAACTAATACTGATTGATGGAGACATCTCACCTCATAACTAATACTGAACACTTCCAGGAGATTCAGGTCGGTGAACATTCTAATGGTCGCTTTCAGCGTGTCATCATCATCAAGCAGGAAATCATTGAACTTGAAGTCCAACAAGTTATAATGGGTTGAAGATGGAATGGACAGTTTCTGAAATTACAGCATGTCTTGTAACAAATGATTTACATCAACTGGAATATTGCCATTACTACAAGTGAGTCAGTATTTGTGGTGAGCTCATTCCACAAACAAACAATTAGCTTCCATATGTTGTTTGAACACACTTGCAACAAGAGTAACTGAAGCTAGTCACCTGAAGTCTTGACTGTATTCAAAACATTTACAGGTACACATTAATCTTTATGATTAAACTTCATCTAAACGTCTCAAAGACTATTCTCAAACTTTATTTACTTGTACTCATGCATCACATCCATATCAGTATGGAATTTGGTTAAAACCCATCAAATTCCTGCTAACTGATCCCTACCCTGAGTCTGTGAGCTTCTTCAATGGGTGCTATAGCATGGTAGGACAACACTTCCAAAGCCACCCTTTGTTTGGCCATAGCCCGTAGTGCTGTCTCATACATCTGTGTATTGTTAATACCCATACCACAAAAGATAGAGAACGCCTGAAACAGACACCACAACATCATATTATTCACTGTGTTATTGTAAGAAGTGGTTGCGTCTGTTCTAGGAACAGATGAGTCAGTGTGGCATAGATGGTGGTGTGTCTGTTGTAGGAACAGGTGTGTCAGTGTGATACAGATGGTGGTGTGTGTTGTAGGAACAGGTGAGTCATTGTGATACAGGGTGTGTGTTGTAGGAACAGGTGAGTCAGTGAGATACAGGTGGTGTGTGTTGTAGGAACAGGTGAGTCAGTGTGATATAGGTGGTGTGTGTTGTAGGAACACGTGAGTCAGTGTGCCAACGGTAGTGTGTGTTGTAGGAACATGTGAGTCAGTGTGATACAGGTGGTGTGTGTTGTAGGAACAGATGAGTCAGTGAGACACAAGTGGTGTGTGTTGTAGGAACAAGTGAGTCAGTGTGGCATATGTGGTGGTGTGGGTGTTGTAGGAACAGGTGAGTCAGTGTGACACAGGTGGTGTGTGTTGTAGGAACAGATGAGTCAGTGTGATACAGGTGGTGTGTGTTGTAGGAACAGGTGAGTCACTGTGGCATAGGTGGTGGTGTGCGTGTTGTAGGAACAGCTGAGTCAGTGTGACACAAGTGGTGTGTCTTGTAGGAACAGGTGTCTCAGTGTGATACAGGTGGTGTGTATTGTAGGAACAGATGAGTCAGTGTGAAACAAGTAGTGTGTGTTATAGGAACAGGTGAGTCAGTGTGACACAGGTGGTGTGTGTTGTAGGAACAGGTGAGTCAGTGTGACACAAATTGTGTGTGTTTTAGGAACAGCCGAGTCAGTGTGAAACAGGTGGTGTGTGTTGTAGGAACAGGTGAGTTATTGTGATACAGATGGTGGTGTCTGTTGTAGGTTCAGATGAGTCACGGTGATACAGGTGGTGTGTGTTGTAGGAACAGGTGGGTCAGTGTGGTGCACATGGTGGTGCGTGTTGTAGGAACAGGTGAGTCAGTGTGACACAAGTGGTGTGTGTTGTAGGAACAGATGTCTTAGTGTGATACAGGTGGTGTGTGTTGTAGGAACAGGTGAGTCAGTATGGTACACATGGTGGTGTGTGTTGTAGGAACAGATGAGTCAGTGTGATACAGGTGGTGTGTGTTGTAGGAACAGGTGTCTCAGTGTGATACAGGTGGTGGTGTCTGTTGTAGGAACACGTGAGTCAGTCTGATACAGGTGGAGTGTGTTGTAGGAACAGGTGAGTCACTGTGATACAGATGGTGGTGTGTGTTGTAGGAACAAGTGAGTCAGTATGATAGAGGTGGGGTGTTGGAGGAACAGGTGAGTCAGTGTGATACACATGGTGGTGTGTGTTGTAGGAACAGATGAGTGAGGGTGATACAGGTGGTGTGTGTTGTTGGAACAGGTGAGTCAGTGTGATACAGGTGGTGTGTGTTGTAGAAACAGGTGAGTCAGTGTGATACAGATGGTGGTGCGTGTTGTAGGAATAGGTGAGTCAGTGTGATACAGGTGGTGTGTGTTGTAGGAACAGATGAGTCAGTGTGATACAGATGGTGGTGTGTGTTGTAGGAACATGTGAGTCAGTGTGATACAGGTGGTAGTGTGTGTTGTAAGAACAGGTGAGTCAGTGTGATACAGGTGTTGGTGTGTGTTGTAGGAACAGGTGAGTCAGTGTGATAAAGGTGTTGGTGTGTGTTGTAGGAACAGGTGAGTCAGTGTGACACAGGTGGTGTGTGTTGTAGGAACAGGTGAGTCATTGTGATACAGATGGTGGTGTGTGTTTTAGGTACAGGTGAGTCAGTGTGATACAGGTGGTGTGTGTTGTAGGAACAGGTGAGTCAGTGTGATAAAGGTGTTGGTGTGTGTTGTAGGAACAGGTGAGTCAGTGTGACACAGGTGGTGTGTGTTGTAGGAACAGGTGAGTCATTGTGATACAGATGGTGGTGTGTGTTTTAGGTACAGGTGAGTCAGTGTGATACAGGTGGTGTGTGTTGTAGGAACATGTGAGTCATTGTGATAGATATGTTGGTGTGTGTTGTAGGTACAGGTGAGTCAGTGTGATACAGGTGGTGTGTGTTGTAGGAACAGGTGAGTCATTGTGATACAGATGGTGGTGTGTGTTGTAGGAACATGTGAGTCAGTGTGATACAGGTGGTTGTGTGTGTTGTAGGAACAGGTGAGTCAGTGTGATACAGGTGGTGTGTGTTGTAGGAACAGGTGAGTCAGTGTGATACAGGTGGTGTGTGTTGTAGGAACAGGTGAGTCATTGTGATACAGATGGTGGTGTGTATTGTAGGTAGAGGTGAGTCAGTGTGATACAGGTGGTGTGTGTTGTAGGAACAGGTGAGTCAGTGTGATACAGGCGGTGTGTGTTGTAGGAACTGACAACAAATTAGTGCACTTTCAGTGACAACAATCCAACACCTCTTACCTCAAACAAGTTTTCATCATTTTTGTTGAAAGTCGTTTGGTCAAGTTTGTTGATGAGCTGACTGACACCTATCACCTTTCCACACGCATTTTTGATTGGCATACATAATATACATCGTGTACGGAAACCTGAGTCAATATCCACCTGCAAAACAACACATCAACATACACTGATCAAAACCGAGTCACCCTCTCCTGGATCACCCTCTCCTACATCACCCTCTCCTGCATCACCCTCTCCTGCATCACCCTCTCCTGCATCACCCATCACCCTCTCCTGCATCACCCTCTCCTGCATCACCCATCACCCTCTCCTGCATCACCCTCTCCTACATCACCCTGCATCACCCTCTCCTGCATCACCCTCTCCTACATCACCCTGCATCACCCTCTCCTGCATCACCCTCTCCTGCATCACCCTCTCCTGCATCACCCTCTCCTGCATCACCCTCTCCTACATCACCCTCTCCTGCATCACCCTCTCCTGCATCACCCTCTCCTACATCACCCTGCATCACCCTCTCCTGCATCACCCTGCATCACCCTCTCCTGCATCACCCTCTCCTGCATCACCCTCTCCTACATCACCCTCTCCTGCATCACCCTCTCCTGCATCACCCTCTCCTGCATCACCCTCTCCTGCATCACCCTCTCCTACATCACCCTCTCCTCCATCACCCTCTCCTGCATCACCCTCTCCTGCATCACCCTCTCCTACATCACCCTGCATCACCCTCTCCTGCATCACCCTCTCCTGCATCACCCTCTCCTGCATCACCCTCTTCTGCATCACCCTCTCCTGCATCACCCTCTACCTGACATATCAAATTTAACACTTGTCATTACATCACATCCTCTACCTGACATATCATATTTAACACTTATCATTACATCACATCCTCTACCTGACATATCATATTTAACACTTGTCATTACATCACATCCTCTACCTGACATATCATTTTTAACACTTGTCATTACATCACATCCTCTACCTGACATATCATATTTTACACTTGTCATTACATCACATCCTCTACCTGACACATCATATTCAGTAGTTCAGTGCAGTAGTTAGCCTGAACACAACAGAACTGAGTTTTAAATGAACATTCATATAGCATATTATTTGTCATGTTTTTGTCAGAAGAGTAACAGTACTCCAAAATGGCTTTAGGACAGCTGGTTGTCATTGGATCAGTCTCAAGTCAACTGTTCCATCAGAAAACCAGTGTGCTTCAGTTTACATGATTATAATGGTTTCTACTTACTGAAACATCAAACTTGTCATCAGAGTATGCGTCTGGAATATTCAGCGGCTGAAATGAAAACAAAATCAAACATGTTTTAAATTTTCTTAATGTTTGGTCAACTAGTTGGATAGTTTGTCATTTATCAATTCAATTAAAACAAAACATTTTGACCACTTTATCACTCAATAATTACTCCGTCATATGTCATATTTTGTCACCCCTCGTGTGTGTAGTTATCATGTCCATTGTGAGAAGGTCACACTTACATCATGAGGTGACATTTTGTCTGTGTGTAGTTATCATGTCCATTGTGAGAAGGTCACACTTACATCATGAGGTGACATTTTGTCTGTGTGTAGTTATCATGTCCATTGTGAGAAGGTCACACTTACATCATGAGGTGACATTTTGTCTGTGTGTAGTTATCATGTCCATTGTGAGAAGGTCACACTTACATCATGAGGTGACATTTTGTCTGTGTGTAGTTATCATGTCCATTGTGAGAAGGTCACACTACATCATGAGGTGACATTTTGTCTGTGTGTAGTTATCATGTCCATTGTGAGAAGGTCACACTTACATCATGAGGTGACATTTTGTCTGTGTGTAGTTATCATGTCCATTGTGAGAAGGTCACACTTACATCATGAGGTGACATTTTGTCTGTGTGTAGTTATCATGTCCATTGTGAGAAGGTCACACTTACATCATGAGGTGACATTTTGTCTGTGTGTAGTTATCATGTCCATTGTGAGAAAGGTCACACTTTACATCATGAGGTGACATTTTGTCTGTGTGTAGTTATCATGTCCATTGTGAGAAGGTCACACCTCATGACATCATGAGGTGACATTTTGTCTGTGTGTAGTTATCATGTCCATTGTGAGAAGGTCACACTTACATCATGAGGTGACATTTTGTCTGTGTGTAGTTATCATGTCCATTGTGAGAAGGTCACACTTACATCATGAGGTGACATTTTGTCTGTGTGTAGTTATCATGTCCATTGTGAGAAGGTCACACTTACATCATGAGGTGACATTTTGTCTGTGTGTAGTTATCATGTCCATTGTGAGAAGGTCACACTTACATCATGAGGTGACATTTTGTCTGTGTGTAGTTATCATGTCCATTGTGAGAAGGTCACACTTACATCATGAGGTGACATTTTGTCTGTGTGTAGTTATCATGTCCATTGTGAGAAGGTCACACTTACATCATGAGGTGACATTTTGTCTGTGTGTAGTTATCATGTCCATTGTGAGAAGGTCACACTTACATCATGAGGTGACATTTTGTCTGTGTGTAGTTATCATGTCCATTGTGAGAAGGTCACACTTACATCATGAGGTGACATTTTGTCTGTGTGTAGTTATCATGTCCATTGTGAGAAGGTCACACTTACATCATGAGGTGACATTTTGTCTGTGTGTAGTTATCATGTCCATTGTGAGAAGGTCACACTTACATCATGAGGTGACATTTTGTCTGTGTGTAGTTATCATGTCCATTGTGAGAAGGTCACACTTACATCATGAGGTGACATTTTGTCTGTGTGTAGTTATCATGTCCATTGTGAGAAGGTCACACTTACATCATGAGGTGACATTTTGTCTGTGTGTAGTTATCATGTCCATTGTGAGAAGGTCACACTTACATCATGAGGTGACATTTTGTCTGTGTGTAGTTATCATGTCCATTGTGAGAAGGTCACACTTACATCATGAGGTGACATTTTGTCTGTGTGTAGTTATCATGTCCATTGTGAGAAGGTCACACTTACATCATGAGGTGACATTTTGTCTGTGTGTAGTTATCATGTCCATTGTGAGAAGGTCACACTTACATCATGAGGTGACATTTTGTCTGTGTGTAGTTATCATGTCCATTGTGAGAAGGTCACACATCATGAGGTGACATTTTGTCTGTGTGTAGTTATCATGTCCATTGTGAGAAGGTCACACTTACATCATGAGGTGACATTTTGTCTGTGTGTAGTTATCATGTCCATTGTGAGAAGGTCACACTTACATCATGAGGTGACATTTTGTCTGTGTGTAGTTATCATGTCCATTGTGAGAAGGTCACACTTACATCATGAGGTGACATTTTGTCTGTGTGTAGTTATCATGTCCATTGTGAGAAGGTCACACTTACATCATGAGGTGACATTTTGTCTGTGTGTAGTTATCATGTCCATTGTGAGAAGGTCACACTTACATCATGAGGTGACATTTTGTCTGTGTGTAGTTATCATGTCCATTGTGAGAAGGTCACACTTACATCATGAGGTGACATTTTGTCTGTGTGTAGTTATCATGTCCATTGTGAGAAGGTCACACTTACATCATGAGGTGACATTTTGTCTGTGTGTAGTTATCATGTCCATTGTGAGAAGGTCACACTTACATCATGAGGTGACATTTTGTCTGTGTGTAGTTATCATGTCCATTGTGAGAAGGTCACACTTACATCATGAGGTGACATTTTGTCTGTGTGTAGTTATCATGTCCATTGTGAGAAGGTCACACTTACATCATGAGGTGACATTTTGTCTGTGTGTAGTTATCATGTCCATTGTGAGAAGGTCACACTTACATCATGAGGTGACATTTTGTCTGTGTGTAGTTATCATGTCCATTGTGAGAAGGTCACACTTACATCATGAGGTGACATTTTGTCTGTGTGTAGTTATCATGTCCATTGTGAGAAGGTCACACTTACATCATGAGGTGACATTTTGTCTGTGTGTAGTTATCATGTCCATTGTGAGAAGGTCACACCTTACATCATGAGGTGACATTTTGTCTGTGTGTAGTTATCATGTCCATTGTGAGAAGGTCACACTTACATCATGAGGTGACATTTTGTCTGTGTGTAGTTATCATGTCCATTGTGAGAAGGTCACACTTACATCATGAGGTGACATTTTGTCTGTGTGTAGTTATCATGTCCATTGTGAGAAGGTCACACTTACATCATGAGGTGACATTTTGTCTGTGTGTAGTTATCATGTCCATTGTGAGAAGGTCACACTTACATCATGAGGTGACATTTTGTCTGTGTGTAGTTATCATGTCCATTGTGAGAAGGTCACACTTACATCATGAGGTGACATTTTGTCTGTGTGTAGTTATCATGTCCATTGTGAGAAGGTCACACTTACATCATGAGGTGACATTTTGTCTGTGTGTAGTTATCATGTCCATTGTGAGAAGGTCACACTTACATCATGAGGTGACATTTTGTCTGTGTGTAGTTATCATGTCCATTGGTCACACTTACATCATGAGGTGACATTTTGTCTGTGTGTAGTTACTCCATTGTGAGAAGGTCACATGATCATGACATTTTGACATCTTTGTCTGTGTAGTTATGTCCATTGTGAGAAGGTCACACCTACATCATGAGGTGACATTTTGTCTGTGTGTAGTTATCATGTCCATTGTGAGAAGGTCACACTTACATCATGAGGTGACATTTTGTCTGTGTGTAGTTATCATGTCCATTGTGAGAAGGTCACACTTACATCATGAGGTGACATTTTGTCTGTGTGTAGTTATCATGTCCATTGTGAGAAGGTCACACTTACATCATGAGGTGACATTTTGTCTGTGTGTAGTTATCATGTCCATTGTGAGAAGGTCACACTTACATCATGAGGTGACATTTTGTCTGTGTGTAGTTATCATGTCCATTGTGAGAAGGTCACACTTACATCATGAGGTGACATTTTGTCTGTGTGTAGTTATCATGTCCATTGTGAGAAGGTCACACTTACATCATGAGGTGACATTTTGTCTGTGTGTAGTTATCATGTCCATTGTGAGAAGGTCACACTTACATCATGAGGTGACATTTTGTCTGTGTGTAGTTATCATGTCCATTGTGAGAAGGTCACACTTACATCATGAGGTGACATTTTGTCTGTGTGTAGTTATCATGTCCATTGTGAGAAGGTCACACTTACATCATGAGGTGACATTTTGTCTGTGTGTAGTTATCATGTCCATTGTGAGAAGGTCACACTTACATCATGAGGTGACATTTTGTCTGTGTGTAGTTATCATGTCCATTGTGAGAAGGTCACACTTACATCATGAGGTGACATTTTGTCTGTGTGTAGTTATCATGTCCATTGTGAGAAGGTCACACTTACATCATGAGGTGACATTTTGTCTGTGTGTAGTTATCATGTCCATTGTGAGAAGGTCCCACTACATCATGAGGTGACATTTTGTCTGTGTGTAGTTATCATGTCCATTGTGAGAAGGTCACACTTACATCATGAGGTGACATTTTGTCTGTGTGTAGTTATCATGTCCATTGTGAGAAGGTCCACTCTTACATCATGAGGTGACATTTTGTCTGTGTGTAGTTATCATGTCCATTGTGAGAAGGTCACACTTACATCATGAGGTGACATTTTGTCTGTGTGTAGTTATCATGTCCATTGTGAGAAGGTCACACCTACATCATGAGGTGACATTTTGTCTGTGTGTAGTTATCATGTCCATTGTGAGAAGGTCACACTTACATCATGAGGTGACATTTTGTCTGTGTGTAGTTATCATGTCCATTGTGAGAAGGTCACACTTACATCATGAGGTGACATTTTGTCTGTGTGTAGTTATCATGTCCATTGTGAGAAGGTCACACTTACATCATGAGGTGACATTTTGTCTGTGTGTAGTTATCATGTCCATTGTGAGAAGGTCACACTTACATCATGAGGTGACATTTTGTCTGTGTGTAGTTATCATGTCCATTGTGAGAAGGTCACACTTACATCATGAGGTGACATTTTGTCTGTGTGTAGTTATCATGTCCATTGTGAGAAGGTCACACTTACATCATGAGGTGACATTTTGTCTGTGTGTAGTTATCATGTCCATTGTGAGAAGGTCACACTTACATCATGAGGTGACATTTTGTCTGTGTGTAGTTATCATGTCCATTGTGAGAAGGTCACACTTACATCATGAGGTGACATTTTGTCTGTGTGTAGTTATCATGTCCATTGTGAGAAGGTCACACTTACATCATGAGGTGACATTTTGTCTGTGTGTAGTTATCATGTCCATTGTGAGAAGGTCACACCTTACATCATGAGGTGACATTTTGTCTGTGTGTAGTTATCATGTCCATTGTGAGAAGGTCACACTTACATCATGAGGTGACATTTTGTCTGTGTGTAGTTATCATGTCCATTGTGAGAAGGTCACACTTACATCATGAGGTGACATTTTGTCTGTGTGTAGTTATCATGTCCATTGTGAGAAGGTCACACTTACATCATGAGGTGACATTTTGTCTGTGTGTAGTTATCATGTCCATTGTGAGAAGGTCACACCTACATCATGAGGTGACATTTTGTCTGTGTGTAGTTATCATGTCCATTGTGAGAAGGTCACACTTACATCATGAGGTGACATTTTGTCTGTGTGTAGTTATCATGTCCATTGTGAGAAGGTCACACTTACATCATGAGGTGACATTTTGTCTGTGTGTAGTTATCATGTCCATTGTGAGAAGGTCACACTTACATCATGAGGTGACATTTTGTCTGTGTGTAGTTATCATGTCCATTGTGAGAAGGTCACACTTACATCATGAGGTGACATTTTGTCTGTGTGTAGTTATCATGTCCATTGTGAGAAGGTCACACATACATCATGAGGTGACATTTTGTCTGTGTGTAGTTATCATGTCCATTGTGAGAAGGTCACACATACATCATGAGGTGACATTTTGTCTGTGTGTAGTTATCATGTCCATTGTGAGAA